GTTTCCGTCTTCATATCCAGGAACGATGACTGAAGGGCGGTGTATTTGCGCATTAGCAGGTCGCATTGCTTTTGTAGTTCAGCTTGCTTTTCTCGACTCGCTGCGAGCATTGCCTGAATTGCTGCCTTGCTATCTCGAGAGGGTAGAGTTCTTTCCTCCTGCGCCTCGGATAACTTCGCTTGCAGTGTTGCAATTTGATTCTGGAACAATTTCCGAGTACGCTCGATTTCATTCTCTCGACTGGCAAGCTGAAGATTCAGGGCCTCAACTTTGCTCTCTGCACCTGCAGCAGCAGCGATTGCCCTTTGTTGTTCAAGTTCCTTGGCTTGAAAATCACGTTCGACCTTTGTCAATCTATCGACTTCACTTTTCAGGCGGTCGATTTCAGCGCTGTGAATTTCAATGGACTGCATATTCTGCTTCCAGTTGACCTCCTTGACTTCGGCATCGCACAGTAGCACCCTCAACTTGTCACGCTCCGCCGTGGAATTATCTAGCTCCTTCTGGAGCGCTTCATAGTCAGCCTTGAGTCGCTTTGATTCGTCACGCAGCTTCTTAAGCTTGGTGGAAAGGTCAGCTTCCCACTTCTTCGCAAGGGCACGACTCTTCTCCGAATCCCTCCGAACCTGCATCTCCGCTTTCTTCGCCTCCTCAAATCGATGCTTCAAGTTACGGTTCGTGATGAGGAGATTCTGTGTTTCTGCCTCTGTCACGGCTTCCTCCATATGCCGTCTGCGCAAGTCACCGATATGGGCCATATGTTGTTGTTTCAAGTACCTCTCGAAGTTCAGGTCATTCTGCAAAAGAAGGATCTGGCGTTGCAGACGAGCCACTTGTGTATTCGTCTCAGTCAAAGAAAGAGGCGTGCTAATAGTTGGCGGAGCGCCCAGTAGCGATGGGCCGAGCCGATCAGCCACAGAATCTTGATTGCTGAGCGATAGTGATGGCACACTATCGTTGGCCAAAGACTGATGCAAACTGGACTTGATGGCCTTGTTAGATTGGATCATGTCCTGTAGTTGTGTATGGGAGGAAGATTGGATAAGATGAGGACCAAGGGTCGGACTGTCGGCGTTTGGTTCTCTTATCCTAGCATCAATAGAATCTCGAGTTGATGGGATGCTTGATTGGGATTCCCGCCGAACTAGAGCTGATGGCCGACGACTGCTCGCTAACGACTCCATACTGGCGGAGGTGGGCAAACGATAGCCGCTGTGGAATTCAGCCGTCGCGGTGGGAAGCGGAGGGTGATTTTCTTTGACAACCCCTTCATTCGACGGAGACGCTTCAGATACCGACAAAGTCTGTCCGAAGGGCTGATTGGAATCGTTCGCGAGACACAAAGCCATGCATTCAGCAACAACTTCCGAGGCCTCGCTCTTGATCCAGCGGCCAAAATCCGTCTTCTCCGAATCAATCGTGAGGGTAAAAAAGTTTGGGTGAAGTAAATGGCATTGGCGAAACCTTTCTGACTGGTCTCGAATCTCCGTAGGCTGAACTTCCATATCGTTGGCATTTGCGACATTGGCGTGACGTAGATATCTCTGAGGTTTGCGAATATAGTCCATGAAGTTGATGGGATATAGACCATAAAGAATGGTATAGTAGTTTAGGAGGTGATAGACAGGGTGATCATCTACTTCTGCCTCATAACTGCATTCTTCCCAACTGGATGAATCTGTATCCTCTGGCTGAGGCTCAACTACGCCGGCTCGTTCTCGTGACCAGAATAATAACCTTGCATAGATGTTGAACAGCGTAGGTAGATGAGGAACCAGTGAGCTTGGCATCTGCGGAAGCAACATGATGACAACTGTCAGCGCAGCTGACACTATGGTCGTTGAGCTATCCTGTTGTAGGCATTTCAAAATATCAGCGAATAGTGGCGTTTGTAGAATCTGGTGAACGTGAGGAGGTTGGCTTTGAAGATAGTCGCCCAAGAAACGCAGGACAGCCTTGCGATACTGTTTCTTCACAAAATAGCGATCAAGCGCAGTAAAAAGTTCCTGGTGCAGGTCAGAAAACCCGCTGATGAAAACAATTTGGGCATATATAACCAACCTTGGGATGCTTCTTTCCGAACTGCACAAGAGCCTCCCGCGTGATTCTTTCATTTGGCTCAAGGTTTGAGAGCGCCTCGGTGACAGACGGGTAAAGTTTCTCCATCCATCCCGTGAATAGGCGGTCAATGAGTGGGTTGGAGGAAAGGTCAGAATCAGAACCATCATGATCCTCTTCCGCAATTGATATGATTTCCATGATATTCGCTAGTGACGCTTCCACAACACCTTTCTCGGGAGATGACTTGGCTAAAAGCGCAGAGCACGAGTCCCACCATGCAAATATTCGCTCAGGAGTTCGAAGTATCGAAAGTAGTTGACGAAGGATGCTCAGAAAGGGCGCGAAGGCTGCTGGTTTGTCTTTGACGTGCTTGTCGAAAATGGACAGGAGCTCCTCCTGGAGGCGATCGGCCGTCGCGTCGTCATATTTCTGGTGTCGGCGGAGGTACGCATCAATGATCTTTTCTAAGTCGTCAGGCAGCGAAGGCGTTGGCTCAGCGAGGAAGGCGATGATCGCCTTGGAGAGGTCCTTTAGCGATCTAAACAGTGGAGATAATTGTCAGCGGACAGCGTATAGTATTTGACGTATGGAGATGAATGTCGCAGGATCCAAAGGAGAAGATGGGATGGAAGATCATGAGGGACGAGCCGTTGAGTGAGGGGAGCTCGAGTCGGCAACGTTTTTGGGATGGAGTTTTCTGCAGGGGACGAGATGACGTACGCCGATGAAGCCATGGCGGGCTTGACGGCCTCATCCGAGCTTGTGAGACTCAAGGTGAGCAGGCCGAGATGGTGAGGCCCGTAGAAGTGTGGATCTTGAGCCAAGGGCCTGAAGCCGTCGGAGATCTAATTTGGGTGAAGCTATTCGGTGACGCTCAGTCGGTATGCAGGGCAGGCAGCTGATTTTTGGGAATGGGCAACAGCGCGGCGCGGCGCGGCTGGCCGTGGCGGTACCTTGCCTTGCGCTGTACCATTCTCAAGGTGGTGCGAGTTGTGGCGCTTACGAGTGGACTCTCCATGCGCTGGAAAATCATCCGGCGACCAGCAACCTCGCTGAAAACAGCGGTTGTGACTCGAGCCACAGGGGGTCGTCCCTCTGCTAATGATTTAGTAGTGGTCTAAGCGAAAATGAGTTTGGAGGGTTGCGGCAGGGAGCGGGGCCGGCAGAAAGCTGATCGGTCACAGCTTGATGTCCCGACATGGTCCCCTCTACCTGTCCGACCTCAGTGGAGACAGCCGAACGATGGTACCCTGAACCTCATGGAGAGCCCCGCCGCGCTAGTAACCCCGCAGTTTTCTGATACTAGCTGCAGACGAGACCGTACCATGACTTTGTGGGTAATGATCACACCAGACTCAGAGTCCTTCTGACCTAGAAATCGAGCCACTCAACTTTGGGCCAGGAAGGGAAGGGACGGGACTTGATTGAGTGAAGTGAGGTGAGGTGGTTGCAGTTCCTGAGTCGTCAATCGATGAGGGGAAAGGCTCAGGGCAAAGCAACCACATAACATTCCTTGATGTACTTAAAACGGCCCTCCTGCTCTTCCTCATCTCCTTCTCCTTTTCTTCCTTTCTCATCATTATCCAGATCACTTATAAGCCAATCCAACAACAACAGTAACCTCTTTTCTTGTGGTAGCCAGCATCTCCTTTTAGTGCTTGTCTACTTCTATAACTTCACTTAAACACACGTCACAATTCTCCCTCAACTATTACCCTCTTCTAAACCTCCAACAATACCGCAAAGATGAGTGCACAGAAGACCTCGGCCATCGCTGACCAGGAGCCCGTTGACGTTCTCTTCGCCATTCACGAAAAGTTCGATCTTCTGGACTTCGCCGGCGCGCTCGAGGTCTTTACTACTGCTTCACACGATTTCAAGGATCCTGACAGTAAGTATCCTCTATCTCACAGTATACTACCCCTCGTTTTGGTGTACGGTGCATTCATTTGCTTTACCCCTCCCGCTGATCACGTTTCCCCTTCATGTAGACAACAAGGCTTTCGAGGTCACCATCGTCGGTCCTGAGCCCAAGGTCATCTCGGACCAGGGCGTCGTCGTTGGCTCCCAGATCTCTTATAAGGAAGCTCACGAACGTCTTGAGGACTTTGACATCCTCGTCGTCGTCGGCGGTAACTCCAAGGAGGTCGTCGCCAAAGAGCTCCAACCCCTCTCTCTCATCACCGACTTCTCAGAGCTTCAGAAGCGTGACCCTGCCCGCGAGCGTACCATCCTCTCCATCTGCACCGGTGCCCTCTTCCTTGGCAAGCAGGGTATCCTCTCTGGCCTCTCTGCTACCACCCATCCCGACTTCTTCACCACCTTTGAGAACATTTGCAGCGATGCTGCTACCGTGAACCTTCAAGAACGTACCGACGTGGTCGAGGACGCTCGCTACGTCGTCAACAACCTTCGATTCGATCTCGGCGAGGACGAGAGCCCATACATCCGCCGCAAGTCCGATGCTGGTCAGGGACGTCGCCCTTCGGCAGCCCGGTACGTAACACATGCAGAGTGGTCCCTTCATACCCCACTTTGTCATGCATTGAGTTTGACGCAGTTAAACTGACTTGTGATGACACACAGAAAGGGAAGCATGTCGTTCAAGGATTCCAACACCCGCCGTGAGTCCATTGTGCGCCGCGCAGCTATGCGACTTGGTGGTCTCCGGGTGGTCACATCCGGAGGTGTCAGCTCTGGCATTGATGCAGCCCTGTATCTTGTCAGCGCTATGATTGATGACTTTACTGCGTTGGAGGTGGCCAGGAAACTTCAGTGGACCTGGAACAAGGGCGTTGTCGTCGATGGTCTCGACGTTTAAGATCCTTGGTCTTGAGTGCCGGTTTGTACGAATTAAGAGATTACGAGAGGTTCAGGCATGGCCCTGATTGAGACCAATATTTATGTATCTAATGTATTTGACTGTTGAGCGGGAGGAACCCTAAGAAAATACCAAAAAGACTAGGAGCTCTCTATTTAATTCAATTATTTTGGTCGCCTTTCAAAGATGTCCGGGAAAGTTATTCAAACCGAATTGATCATTGATGATAACCAAGCGCTCATCTTGGGCTTCTTAGGTTCATGGCTGTGTCGGCGTTGAACTGCGGAGGTGGAGGTCAAAATGTGACACTAAAAAGCCACAAAAACACAAAGTGCAGACGCCAAAGGGCAATGACGTGTTAGAGCAGGACCCACACAAGCTCGGGGAGCTCCAGGTCGCGATGCGGGATAAGCTGGAGGTCGTGTGATGATGGCTATGTCCACGAACCAGGGGGTAAACAGGGGTAAGGATGGGCTAGGCGAGGGACATCACCTCATACTATGAATGAAACGAGCAACGAAACGATTGTCGGTCCATCTCGATTGCAATTGCGTTTGCACTTGCGTTGGGCTAGGGAGTAGGGATCGGAAAAGAGAAGTACGATCAAGGTAACATGGGTAACATGATTTCGGTGAAGGGAATTGGATATCAGCTCATGATGTCGAGGCAAAGAACGCATGAGAGCAGTTGAAGTCATGATGAGCTGAATAGACTCAATCGAGTCTTGACCTTGTCCCCTAAGTTAGAGCCCATCAACCCATTTGTATTGTCATGACAGACAGGTGACTTTGATTGCCATTGACCACAATACATCACAGTTTGAGGTGGTACGGTATTCTTTCTATTGTACAACCCATGGCCCACTTGCGGCTGCATATCATGAGACTGCATGTGACCATCAGGATAACTTTAGCCTTTGATTGACCGAGCGTGTTACCTCAATCAGTGTAAACATGAAGTCACGCGAAGCCTTTAATGCTTCAAGTACGCTCTAATGGCTTCCGTATTACACTTCGCAGCGTTCACGTTGAGCATAAATAAGAAATGCAACTCATGTCTGGATCTCGTGGCTGTCTCAGGTGTGGCTTGATCTCGCCACAAGGTGGGCCTGAATTGCTGACATAAGAAATATTCATTGTGACACCTGATTGGATGAATAGCCCTTTACACTTAGATTTGCGACGGGACTGAAGATAATCAAAGTTGTTTCAAGCTTTCAACAGCTCCAATTCGTTACCTACTCTCGCCTTTCAGATTCAGATCTTCCACGAGATAATCAATCATTTAACGTCAAAAGGAGAGCATATGAAATAGTTTTCGAACACGTCAGACGTTCACGCGCAGTCAATTGCTTTCATCATGACTGACTGGGCCAAGCTCAAGGTCATTGACCTCAAGGCCGAGCTCAAAAGTCGCGGTCTACCACAGCAAGGTCTCAAAACAGAGCTTGTCGCGCGACTAGATGAATCCGATCAAGATACTGAGAAAGCCGAGGACCAAGAACAACTCGGAGATGCGCCCGTAAACAGCGAGTCGGGAAATGATGAGCCACCGGCTGAGCAACCAGCCCTTGCAGACAATGAGCCCCAGGAAGCGACCGAGCAGCCCGAACCGAAAGAAGAGAAGCCAACGGCTGAAACAATGGAGCTAGAAGAGAACCAGTTGGGTGATGATACCGCGCCCAATGCCGATGGAGAGACTGATAAAGGGGTCCCTGAAACTGAAAAGGAGGAAGACATCAAGAATGGAGCATTAGAGGAAGCGGCGCGCGATGGCGATCTGGTCGCTGACGTGCCAATCCCCGGAAATGAAGTAGATATACAAGTAAGGGAACCAATGGTGGAGGAGAAATCAAGAGCGGGAACAGTGACAACCACTGTCGAATCTACACCCTCTCACTCACTCGAACCAACCCCTGCTGCCGAACAGCAAAAGCGCAAACGCCGCTCTCTCACACCCCCACCAACCGAAGAATCGATTGCACGCAAACGCGCCCGCACGGATGAGAGTCCAGCAAACGGCGATAGTCTAGGTGCGCGACAGGAAGATCTGCTACCTGAAACTCAAAACAAACCTGCTCCTATGAACATGGATAGTGAGCCCCAAGCAGAGAAACCTCAACAAGAACCTACACAAGAAGCTGCCCCAGAGACCGAGGTACCCAGAGAAGAAAATTTTGGTGAAGACAGAGATAAACCGCAGGACATGGACTACGAACGAGACGTTGCGCCGGCGGTGCACCCGGCCACTTCTGCACTTTACATCAAGAACTTTATGCGCCCTCTCCGACCCCAAGATGTCAAGGCCCATCTCGTCACGCTTGCGGCACGTTCTCGAGACGCAACGGACGATGACGACGGGATTGTGACTGAATTTTTCCTGGACCAGATCCGTACTCATGGTTTTGTTATCTTCAGGAATACCGCTGCTGCTTCCCGCGTTCGCACTGCACTTCATGATAGTGTCTGGCCTAACGAGAGCAATCGCAAAGCCCTGTGGGTTGACTTTGTCCCTCCTGAGAAGGTCCGCGACTGGATCGATACAGAACAAGCCAGCAGTGGTCCACGCGGCCGTTCTGGTGTTCGATGGGAAATCGTTTATGAGGATGGCCCTGGCGGCGATGTTGAAGCACACCTCGAAGAAGCATCAGCATCAACATCTCGCACGATGCCTCAACTGAACGCAAGACCACCCCCGAGCTCAACAATGGCGACCAATTCTATCCCTCTTGGACCCAGAGCACTCCGCGAACCTGCCATTCCCACTGGACCACGCCCTGTTCGCCCCGGCACTGGACCTGGACCAAGACCTCCACCTATCAACCCAGGCGGTGCATTCAAGCGAACCAATACTCGCCCAGTCATCAACTACCAACCTGTATCCGAAGACCTTGCGCGCCGCCGTATCGACAACATGCGCTCTTATTACACAAAAGATCGCGACCGCGACGTCGGCCGTGAGATTAACCGCTACTCCTTTGAGAACGGCACTACATTCGTTGACCGGGGCAAAGAGGTGTTTGAAGGCATCCGACCTCCACACCGTGAGCGAGCCATAGGCCGTGAGCGCCGTGGTGGAAGACGTCGTGGACGCGGTGGTGGCGGCGGTCGACCGCGTAGTGATCGGTATCTTCCCCCACCACGGGACGACCACGGTCCTCGTCGTGGCTCCTTGTCTGACGACGGTGATTTTCGAATGAGGGATTGAGGGCTAGGTGCGTATTATTGGCCACGAGATGCGAAGAAAAGACAGGGCATTCAAATTAATAACTCTGTGTTGTACACATGGTATCAGGAGCTATATCACATGAAGGGCGGCGTTGAGACAGTAAAAAGGCAAGAAGCCTAAGGAAATAAACAACCCGTGTTAAGACATCAGTGAAATGGGTAACTTTAATTTTAATTTCTACTTTAGTTCTGAAGGCTGGTTTTATTCAAGTTATAATCTGTGTTTGTACTGTTGATAGCACTCAACAAGACGCTACAAGCTGGATGCTACGGTTGCTTTGGTCATTGATTTCAGAACATTTCCGCACAGCAGGTTGACATAGCGGGTTGAGGTGTAGTGGTGGTATCACAATCTTTATTATAAGACCAATGTTTCTTAACATAACATTAAAAGAATAGCAGCCGTTATCCTTGCTCCCGAGAAACTAACAGACGTTACCAACGACCTATCCTAGACGCCAAAATCATCTCACACTAGTCGTTCAAGCAGTAGCAGCAAGAGGAGTAGGCTCAACACCGACACGCTCTCGGCTCATGATATCGAGCATCAGAGGGGTAGGTCGGTTATCCTTGAAAACAACCTGGTTACTCTTGGCAAGCTGGACGTTCTGGAGGTACTTGTCGAAGAGGTAAGAGCTGTCCATAGGGCCACCCTTGGCCTCGGGATGGAACTGGGTCGAGAAGATGGGGCGGGTCTTGTGGAGCATACCCTCGTTGGATCCGTCGTTGAGGTTGACGAAGTACTCCTTGAAGTCGCTAGGAAGAGTGCTGGCATCGATGGCGTATCCGTGGTTCTGGCTGGTGATGTGGCACAGGCCAGTGGTTAAGTCGAGAGCGGGAATGTTGTGAGCTCGGTTACCGTACTTGAGCTTGATGGTGCGGGCACCAACAGCGAGAGCCAGAAGCTGGTGGCCGAGACAAATACCCATGATAGGAATGTTGGAAGTTTCCATCAGGCGGGCGAGATTGTGGACGGTAGCCTGGCAATGGGTAGGGTCACCAGGACCGTTGGAGATGAAGACACCATCGAAGTGCTGCGAGACCTTGTGGATGGGGTAGTCATAGGGGAAGACTGTGACGGAAGCACCTCGGCTAACCAGGCTGCGAAGGATGTTCTCCTTGACACCACAGTCGATCAGAGCGACGTGGAGAGAGGCACCGGGGGACTCAACAACGAAGGGAGCCTTGGTGGTGACACGCTTAACCAGGTTGATCTGGCCGGGGTCGACGAAACCCTCATCCTCGTCGGCATCGTACTCTTCACCAATGGATATCCTAGCCAGGGAAGAGCCTTGCTCTCGGAGGTGTGTGACAATGGCGCGAGTATCAACGCCAGAGATGGCGGGAACTCCCTCTCGAGCGCACCACTCGCCGAGACTCTCAACAGCAGTCCAATGGCTGTAGTTGACAGCGACATCGGAGACAACAATACCAGCACACTGAACGTGGGGCGACTCGAAGTACTTGAGAAGATTGAACTCGTCTCGGACAGCGGAGGGAACACCGTAGTTGCCAATCAGGGGCTGGGTGAAGACGAGGATCTGACCTCGGTAGGAGGGGTCGGTCATGGACTCGGGGTAGCCAACAAGAGATGTGGTGAAGACGGCCTCACCAGAGATGTTGGCATTGGCGCCGAAAGCCTTGCCCTGAAAAACAGGACCATCCTATGGGCATATTAGCTTAGGTTGACAAGTGGCATGCCATTGAAGGAGTACATACTCGAATGGTGAGAGTGGCGGGAAGAGAAGCAGCAGGAGCAGTAGCTCGAGCAGCAGAGAAGGGCATCGTCCTGCCCTTGCTGCCAGCAACAGCTTTCTCAGACAGGTATCGGACCTGAAGCATGGTTCGGCCAGAAGCCGACGCGGACTTGGCCGCGGGTTTGGCAAAGGAAGCCAGTCGGGAGAACATTTTGGTATATGTCGGTTGTTTAGGTTGTGTTTAGAAGGAGAATAGTCGGTTGGTCAAGAAAGATCTTTAGCAAGACTGTGACTTCCAGAGATGGTCTGTAAGAGTAGATGGGTTAGTTTTCGCTTCTGGTGGAGATAAGGTAAGGTTTCGAGCGGTGAATCAAAACCAATGAAGAGTACGAACCAGATAGATAATCCTACAAGTCGAGTTAGCATTGTGTCGATTGAAGTCTAATGGAAGTCTTGGTGACGATGAAATGGAGCCATCAAGTAGATACACATCGATTTGTAGCTCCTACAACCAACGTTGCAGAGTCACAGACAAAAATGTGTTCGGTGATGGCGGGGTTGATACAGCGAGTGTATGTCACACGCGAGGTAATAAGAAAAAAAAAAAAGTGAACGTACCTGCGAGGTGAAGACGGATGGGCGCCCGTTCATATGGGCGGATTAAAGAGACGAGCTCAGTTCGGAATTATAGTAGAAGATGCAATCGGGTTGCAGGAGCGTTGAGTCAGTGTTTGGAGGTGAAGATTGTGTGAAACTGTCGCGAGGATTTCTTTCTGTTGGAGGAGAAGAAAGAAAAGAAAAGGACCAAGAGGGTGGGAGTTGGGAAGAAAAGATAGGATACCTCAGTTAGTAGGATCCAACCATGGATGGACGATAGGTGGTGGAGGGCTGACTGGTGCGATCCCGCTCCGCAGGTGCCGCCCCGAAAGGGAAACCTGACAACACGGTCTTGGTCATTGGCAAGTTTTTTCGAGCTGAGTGGGTTCCTCACTGCAAATTTCCTCCTGGCGGAACCCGGATCCCGCTCTTCCGCCGAGAAAACAGTGGTGGCGGGCTGAGCGCTCCGCCTATTGGCACTATTAGAGCCCCGCTACCAGGAACTAAACCCTTTGACAAGATCTCTTAACCTCCGATATCGTTTTTGACTCTCTTCGCTGTGTGAGTCCTTGACCCAACACCAATTACACGTCACAACGCAACCTGGATCGATCACCAAGCCTCTCTTTTCTCCATGTCACATATAGCCAGAACAAGACATATTGTGACCATTGAATATCTTCTCTCAAATGCTACAACTCATGTTCACTCTTGCACCCAAGGCCATATTCATTGAACGTAAACATGTCGACTGAGTCAAGCACTCCAGCACGGCCATGCCCTTTATCATGACAATGAAACCATACAAGATCCACCGTCCCCAGACGAACTCCGGAAATGTTGAGACGTCATTTGATTCGCCCTTGTTGAGGTTTCTCCTCTGTTGGCGGTCAAAGCATGGAAGCCAAGCTAGAAGTATTTCTAGCGTAGCACTGTCGATCGCTCTGATAAGAGTCTGTGGAGCCCTCGATGACCCTGCCAGGCACGCGGCGTTCGGCAGTCGGAATCATGAGACAACCTTGCAAGTCTCGGTCTTGGTATCACAATAAGATGGAGGCTCTATAGAGTCTCTTGAGCCTCAACTTATTGATAGCAAGCCATGTCGTTGACAGGAAACTGCTCACGTGCGTGCGTGTTTATGTAACCAGAGCCCTGACACATCTCGGGCTCGCAGCGCGATATCCCCACAAACTAGCCTTATAAGTGCAATTTGCGTTCCAATTAATCTATGGCACCCCGTCGCCTTCAAATGGAACAACTTGGAACAACGGGAAATACGTCGGGCTGAACATGGACCGCCCGAGATCGAAACCTCGCTCCTTGGAGTGAGGTTGCGATTTTTGTCTTTTTTTCCAGTCACTCTCTTACCTAGGTACCTGTGTGCCTTTACACTTGCAATTTACTAATAACATTCTCTCTTGAGGTCTCTTGAGAAATGCACGCTTTCCTTTTCTTGAATTGGCAGCTCAGCAAGTTGGTGCAAGCTCAAAAGCATTAAGTATTTTTCAAGTTGACAATCACATATATATTCAAAGCAGAAACTTATTTCAGTCATAGTCTCCTGGGTTTGCGGACATATACATGGAGCATCTGGTAGAATTGGAGAACAGCATGCGAACTTGTCTCATGTAAACCTCACGTTACACATTATAACAGTAATAATACTACATTCAGGGTTCGGCGTTTCTAATGACCTTCGACTTTGTCATGTTCACTATTCTTTCTTCTTGTTTACAGTGCACCAAGCTCCTTAAGCTTGCTAACCAAACCACCAACATCCTCAACCTTACCACCTCCCTGACGAGCGGGGGGTTCTGCGGAAGTTAGTAAAAGCACTATGGAACATTCATGCGAGAGAAGTTAACTTACCGATGACCTTAAGTGTCTTAAGACGCTTCACACCATCCAATCCAAAATCTTCAAGCTTTGTCTTCTCCAACTTCTTCTTCTTGGCCTTCATGATATTGGGCAAGCTGGCATAGCGGGGCTCGTTGAGTCGCAGGTCTGTCGTGATGACCATGGGCAGCTTGGCGCGCACCGTCTCAACACCGCCGTCAACCTCCTTTGTCACGGTGACTTCATCACCAGCACCGAACTCGATCTTGCTCGCCTGTGTAGCCTGAGGCCACCCCAGGAGACCTGCAAGCATTTGGCCAGTCTGTGCCGCATCATCATCGATGCTCTGCTTGCCCAGAACCACCAAGTTGCTCTTCTGCTGTTCCACTGCCTTCTGGAGAATCTTGGCTACTGTGAGAGGCTCTAGCTCATCTCCGTCCTTAAGCTCAACGTGGATTCCTCGGTCTGCGCCCATGGCCATGGCTGTTCGCAGCACGTCTTGCGCCTTGGGAGGACCAGCAGAGATAACGCAGATGTCCTCGACACCACCGGGTGCACGCTTCTTCTCTCGGATCCGTACTGACTCTTCGACAGACAGCTCATCGAACGGGTTCATTGAGTGCTTGACACCGGCCGTTTCGACGGCCGTTTGGGCCTTGTTAACTCGAGGCTTGACCTGTAAAGATTGTCAGCATTCCATTGCTTCTCAATTGTCAATCCCGGCTTCTTTACAGCATAGTCGATGACCCGTTTGACGGGCACGAGGATCCGTAGTGCTGACATGTTGTATGGATATTGCTCAATGCGAAATTGAAGTTGTCGGCAGCGGCGAGACGTTCACGAGGGCCGGCCAAGTCGTCATGGCAAAGCTCGGCGCGGGACCGGCTAGGGCCGGTCTCAGCTCCAACCTCGGCCGACGGCCCACGTGACAAATCCGCCGGATGATCAAGCGATGTCGGGATTCATTTCCGTGTTGTTGATGTTATTTCTGCCAAAATGTTTGCGACATATATTAATTGGTATCGTATCTTTCTTCTCTCATCATACGCATATGTATTTCGGTATGACACTCTACCAAAATTCGATTGAAAGTATATACGGGCAGGTGTTGAGGAAATCGGCCACTGACGGTATTGAACCACCGGCAACTTATACGCAAATGCCGAGCCCAGCCATATAACTAAGGTAAGGTAGTCTACCACGAAACCCAGATCAACACTCCACATTTCCGCTATTTACATGAGCGTCATCGCTCTCGCGAAGTACGTGCCCCACGCGTCAAAATCACTTATTCCTTTGACGATGCGGGCATGTCTGCGGCACTGATCCGCGAGGATTCTAGTGGTAGAATGTGAAGGCCTGCGATCCGAGTGTCCACCAGGGGTTCGTGCTGGTAAGGCACGCCAGTTCAACTGCTAGGTCCTTGGCTTGGGTGCTTCATAGACGTAGTACACGCGGTAGGGGTAATGGTATGCGATTGCGACCTGGCTTTCTAGGCTACTAGGGGGGAAGATATCTTAAATAATGAATAATATCTCAAGGCAAGAGAAGGCGACTCTACGCTTATAAATACCTGGTGCATTCTTAAAGAAAACCCTGCTCATTTCTTGTGACCATTTCACAGACATCACTTTCCTGTAAATCAGGTCCAAAGTGGCCTTCTCTTGTACTCCATCTGACAGCCAACTTGACTTGGTCTTACATGAAATTGCACACGCCTCACACTTCCTGAGGCTTCAATCTCTGCGCCCTTCGCTCCGAACTCCGGCGAAATAGCAGTCTCAAGGCAGAAAGCCAGCACGCAAGGCTCAGCCTAATGCTGCTCAGTCACCCTCTACCAGGGCCCTATTCCCGCCTTCTGGATTCTCAGGATCATTATCCTCCTTTTCGCCTTACCCAACCACCGCCCTAAACACGACCTCTGTACAAGACGATATCGATGGGTGCGTTTCCAGAGATGGGTTTCGTCCAGTCGATTGGAAGACCTCAGGGTCAGATATCCTGAAAAAGCTGGTAGATAAGTCAAGAGGAGCTGCCTTCAGCGCTACGGTCTTCTATCTCAAGAAGTAGCAAGTTAACTTTGTCCTCGGCGTCATATATATATCGAAAACCTTGGTTTAGTTTTGCGGTTGATCTAATTAGTTTCACTTGTCTACCAGGAACGAAGATCGTTTTTGTTGTTGGGCAAGCTGGGGTAGGAAAGTCAATCCTCCTTCAGGAGATCACAAACCGAGACAGGCGATCTTTTTGATACCTTGTTGCTTTCTACCCTCATTATTTGATCTTGGTAGTAGTTTTTGTTCTCTTAAATTGTCTTTGAAAACTTGCAGGCACCCAACGATACGAAGTCTGACCTACGCTTATCAACAAGCAATATGTTTTCGTGGATACAGTTGGCTTTGCCGCTACTGACAGGAACAACTGGGACACTTTTGGTGGCCTAAACCAAAGTTAGATGCTTGGCCCAGGCTTTGATCACCTTTCTGATCGCCTCTGCTCAGGGTAAAGCAACGACAACTCAGGCATGCCGCCCAAAACAGATTCGAACGGCAAGAATTGTTGGTTGAGGCTATTGGGGATGTCTACTGGCGAAAGGAAGCTCTTGGATACGCCATGAGTTCTTCAGTGAGGGCAAGGTAGATACAATAGACGATAGAACATCAACAATTGATCTTATTAATGACTTGATGCTTTGTTCTTTCGGAGCGGGGTTCTCGTATTAAGCTACGAACGAGGCTCGGGCCGCCCCGTCAAAAAGTGATCACGTAGGATGCGCAGAACAGGTTAATGGGTAAAACCCGACTACAAGGATTGTTGGATTAACGATTAAATTAAAAATATATACTACTTTTGTGGCCATGCCCCATTCTGGCTCTTACATATCTCGTCGCCGGAGGGCGGGGGACATCCTATGTTATTTGTGCCTTTGGCCAGACACAAAAGATAAATCAACTCAAATGTCCAGCCACTGCCTAGCCGCAGGTAGCCTTGGTCGACCAGCAGGCTCAATTCCCGGCGAGATAAGCCTCGATGGCGGAGATTCGGCCTAGCACTGAGCTCCGGCTCGTGCACCCCTGGGCAGACCTCCTCTCGACGCTCCTTTCGAAGTCGAAGACGTCAACAATGTCAGCCTCGAACTGGGGCGAGATCTGCTTAAGGTCCGGCAACTCTAGTTCAGCGATAGAGGCGCCCTTCTCCTCTGCCTTGCGGACAACGGCGCCGGCGATGTGGTGCGTCTGCCGAAAGGGCACACCTTTCACAACCAGATAGTCGACTGTTAGGGCTGCTTTCATCTTCTCGGAGTCGATCTGCAGCGTGCTCAGGACGTCGGCGGCAATCGCAGGCAGTGCGAAACCGTCTTAATGCAGTCAAGGAGGGGTTCCACTGACTCCTGGATGTCCTTGTTATACGCCGTTGGAAGGCTCTTGGGGGTGGAAAGAAAGCCCGATGCCTGTCGACAGTCAGTCAGCTCAGGGCACAGCCCTTTCATATCTACTAGTCGGGGCCGAAAAGGGACGGACCTGCCCCATAACCCTGCCAGCCTTTCCCCAGATCAGCTCGAGGTTGTTGGGGTTCTTTTTCTGGGGCATCAAACTACTACCGGTGCTGTAGGCGTCGGCAACCTGAACGAAACTAAACTCGGCTGTTGAATAGATAATCAGGTCTTCGCTAAGGCGGCTAAGATGCACCATCGGCAGACTCGACCACTGCAGGATCTCGGCCACGAAGTCACAATCCGCGACCGCCGCTAAGCTGTTAGGGTGGACAGAGGAGAAGCCTAGGTCCTTGGTGAGAAAGGTGCGGTCGATGCCAAAGGGGTTCCCCGCCAGGGCGCCAACACCAAGGGGACAACAGTTGGTACGGTCACGGACGCCGCGAAGCCGCGAAGCCGTTGCAGTTCGCCCATAAGGTAGGTGGCGTGCGAGAGTAACCAGTGGAAACCCGTACGGGCTGGGCGCGTTGGAAGTGGGTGTAGCCGGGCATCAGTACATCGATCTCTGCATTGGCGCGGGCAGCGCAAACGGCCAGGGCCGCGCGCAGTTGTTCGGATAGGTCATCGAGCTGGGCTCGCATCCATAGGCGTACGTCGGTGGCGATCTGTTCGTTGCGTGAGCGGCCTGTGTGAAGCTTGCCAACGATGGTCGGGCCAATGAGCTCAGCTAGACGACGCTCGTTGGCCGTGTGGATGTCCTCATCAACAGCAGGATGTATGATAAATTTGCCCTCAGCCCACTCCTTCTCGACAGCCTCGAGGCCCGTGGTGATCTCGCCGAGCTCCTCGTCGGTGAGCAGGTCTAGCTGCCGCAGTGCCTTGGCAAAGGTGATGGAGCCCCGGATATCAGCCTCATGCAGCGCCCTGTTGAAGGGGGAGCGACTCGTTGAAGATGACCATGAGGTCGTTCATGTTCTCTAGATGGTGACACGGTCAGCATGCGTCGCCACGGGAGTCTCGCGGTGGCCGATTTGCCAGGTCGCAATACCGGACAGAGCAGTACCGGCCTGTGAAGCGACCGCCCCAAAGGAGCGTTGACGGGTTGGACGCCATAGTAGGTGTCCTGGACGCTGGCAAAGGCTATACAGATGGCCGAGCAGTCGGGAGTTATATGGGAAACATCTTCTTTATGCTTGTGGATTGAGGCCACTTGTTTAGTTGGATCTTAAAGTTCAAGGCAGTTGCTGTGTGATCTGTTGAGACTTAATATTAAGGTTATTGTGTTTCTTGGGCGTAGTGCATGACGGCTTGTATTGTGTTGTGTTTAAAAACATTGCTATTGTATTATCTTGACTGTGCGCCTTTGGCCTCACTGATATATGTTGCTAGATACCTATGTGAAAGGGGGGATCCCAGGACAGAGCCCGGGTGCGGGCACAATATTGCCTTCGATGTCAGCGACAGCTCAGGCCCAGCGCCGCAAACGGATTGGGACTGTAAGAATTTGTCGGGGGTGACAGGTATTCAGGTCGTTCGACATTGGGAACAGCAAGCATAGGTTTACTGGCAATTCTGTTTGGACACTGAAGTAACCCGAGGGAAAGTCGAGTTTTTTTGTAAAGAGACTGGTTCAATCAACAGGCACGCCTATACTCCAATGCTCCGACTACCTTACATTACCAACAAATCGCCCTCCGAATCAGCTAAGAGTACACTTCCGCTCACCAATCGTCCCATGCATCATCCTGCTTCTTTGATGGAGGAGCTGCCGTGCTCTTCTTGCCCATTCCCATAGCACTTGTGCCGATTGAGTTGTTGGCAGGTTGTCTTTGATCGGCCAAGTTTGAGAACTCATCCCAGAAGCTCTTCTTGCTCTCATCTAGGGGGGCTTCTCGACTTTTCTGATTGTCAGGGCCTTCCACAAATCTGGTGAAACCCTCCTGTGCATTCTTGCCCGCTGCTTGGGCCTGCTTTGCGAACGCAGAGGCGGTCATTTGAGCCTGCTTTGCAAAGTCGCCTTCCGCAAACTGTACACATGTTAGATAAGACTCTAAGATACCTTACGTAGAATGGCCAGGAAGAACAGGTGACATACCTGCTTAGCAGTGGGCTGAATGTAGCCATCGTTAACAGTCTTGGCGGTCTTTGAGACTGTTGACGTGAACCAGCCGAATCCCCTAGTCAGAGTCGCGACAGCGTCCTTCTGTATATCACCAAAGTTGAGGTCGTTGTCCGAAGAATTGGGCGCAGGAGTACTTCCAAATCCAGCATATTTTCCTCCCTGGCTGGGTGGCAGATGATCCGGTCGTGAAGCGTTATCAGCTCCAAGCCTTGAGAAGTACTGGTCGTCCACCTTGACCTTGCCTCCTGACCCCGCTGCAGGACTCTCATTACGGCGCGAGCTACCACTCATGGGAGTTCCTGTTCGCGACGCGGGTTTCGTGGGCGCAGACACAGGCTTCTTCGCACCAGGGACATACTCGCGGCCCTCAACCTTGCAGCTCAGTCTCTCCTTCCACTCCTCACCGACTTCACCACTGTATCGTTCTGCAATAGTCGAGTCTTCCCATGTGATGCCCATCATCTTAGTTTGCTCATGCTCTTCGAAGAAGTTCCTCCATCCCTCGTTGCCGCCCAGTCGCATTCGCTCGATTTCGCTCGACTTGAAGGCGTCCATTGAAATACTCCTGACGAAGGAAATGTGAACTCCAAGACCTCGATGCACACCAGCGCACGAGAGGCAGATGAAGACGCCAAACTTGGGAGACGCCCACTGGGGAGAGGGCGCATTGCAATCGCAACAGAGATTATTCTTTGATTCCTTCTGGAGGGTGGCGAGCTATCGACAGTATCGGCGTCAGCGTGTGTGACTGCAGCGCAAAGAACAGAAAGGATGAGGAGAGATTAGATGAATAGGAAAGGAGACCAATGGTGGACGAACCTTGGACCGCGTCTCGGGATCGACCTCCCACATGCCCTTGGATGCCATCTTAAGAGGTTCAGTGCTTGTAGAGATATTAAAGCGTCGAGTATATGTTGAACTGTGTTTGTTGAGCACGATATAGTACGGTACAATGGGTCTTTATGATGAGTTGGAAACACCTGAAAATGGAAACAGAAACGAAGGGAGACATCTGAGGGCGCTAGTGCCATCAGGTACCTTGCCTTTACATTTACACCACTCAGCGCCCAATACTACCTGTTGCTCGATGCACTGGAGCATGGGCCTAGCTCCTCCCGCTCGTTGCCATGAGGTCCCCCCAACTGCTCCCGACCATTAAGGGGCTAAGGTTGGCGGGGCATTTTAATCCATAAATAAATTCGCTACACTTTATCAAGACAACATTAAGCACCAGTTCTAGAACCCTTAATGTCCACGTGAGCTATATTATCCAGTATCCTGTTTGATTTAGTCTGTACATTTCACGATAATGGCTTCAGTCGAGTTATTTGTATCATATCCATAATCTTCTGCATGCAAATGGTTCACAAGACCGCGTTGACGCATTAGGTAAATCGAGATATGCTTTCATCATCCTATACTCCAAAGCGATGACGCCTCTTCCCACGCATCTCCACAATTTTGAAGGGTGAACTCGACTGCCAACTTATATCATCATGTCAAGACGAATTTACATACATTCATCATCACGGCAATATACATTCGAGCGACTTAAATCACAAAGGCCCGTTTAGCTTCATCAAAACGCCCTTTATAATACCGCTAAACTTTTCTCTCCCCCCAGCCGCCTCCGGTGTAAACTAGTGTACAACCCGCAGAAGGGTGATGGAGAAAAAGTGATACAAATACAAGATAACAGAGGGCCTGTGAGCTTTTTTGTGTCCCGATCATGGAAATATTAAGTGTTTGATGAGAAAAGTGATAAAAGCTGATAAGTAAACACCACCCGAGATTCATGAGAGCCCGATTCGCTCCTGCTTACGTCCCCAAGATCCCGGCAAGGTCGAATACCTCATTCTTTCTTTTCATCGTTGTAGCGAGAATCTACCGTAAGAAAAATTCGTGAAAATCGCGTACCAAATCGTAAGTGTTATCATCGTGGCATACCTAGTCCATGCCCATGAAATTCGTGCCAAGCCATAACTTAGGCAGTAGTGGCAGGAGTGGTAGAGGCGGGGGTAGCCTCAGTCTTGGTGGCAGCAGCAGGAGTAACAGCAGCCTCAGCACCACCAGCAGGGGCGGGCGCGGCAGCAGGAGTAGCCTCAGTAGCAGGGGCAGCATCCTTCTGGCCGTTGGTAGCATCACCCTCGTGCTGCTCCTCATCGGTCTTGTCAGGGCTGTCAATAGCAACCTTGACGGCGATCTCACGGCCCTCAATCTCCTTTCCGTTCATCTCGTTAACAGCCTTCTGCTGGAGTTCCTCGGAAGCCAGAGTAACAAAGCCAAAGCCACGACCCTTGCGGGCCTCACCACGAGCCTGAAGCTTCTTGATCATGAATCGGGGAATGGGTCGGAGAGCAATCTTGGCGGAAGAAGGCTCATAAGCCTTGAAAAGCTCAATAAGCTGTTATGGTGTTAGCAAACTGTATCAAAAACGAGTTTGGTACGGTGCTCTCACCTTATCCTCGGTCAGGTCGTAAGGCAGGTTGGCAACCATGACCTTGGTCTTGGAAGGAATTCCATCAGCAGGAGGGCCTCGCTCACGGCGCTCACGCTGGGGGCGAGCTTGAGTCTTGTTCTTGGTGTTCGCGTCAGTGTTGATCTTGTTTGTGATGTCGGTCAATGGTAAAACCTCAGCGGTGGCAGGAGCCGCTGCTGCGGGGGCAGCATCTTCAGTAGCGGCAACAGCCTCAGTAGTCTCTCCCTCCTTCTTCTCAGCACCCTCCTATGACATTGTCAGTACAAAACTCATAGATCATAGAACTGACGAATGACTCACACGGCCAGCGCGGGCAGTGCGGCCTCCACGACCACGGCCACGACCGCGGCCACGTCCCGAAGCTCGACGACGAGAGCCCTCGGCACCAGAACCCTCACCGTTAGCACCCTCTGACTTCTCGCCAGCGGGCTCAGGCTTGCGAGCGAGCTGAACAGAAACCTTGCGCTCGAGGATCTCCTTGCCGGAGAGCTCCTCGATGGCACGCTCAGCCTCAGTGGGAGTGGAAAGGTCGACAAAAGCGTAGCCGACAGGGCGGTCGGTGCGGGGGTTCTTAGGAATCGAGACAGACTCACTAGTGGCAAGAACATCAGTACTTGTTAAGGTGTATTCATGATGAGGTGGTGGGGTGATGGTTATGATAACGAGGCAATGGGATCAATGGCTACTATTCCGAGCCACAACAGGTAGAGCCAGTAACCACCCATTTCCAGGGCAAGACTTGATAATTGGGAAGGGACTTCACGCGTGCCTGCCCATTATTTGTCGTCATATGATAGCTAGGGAAGGCGCCCATCGCGATGGCGAAGACACGTGTCTCAGCTAGCCGCTCATTGCATGAAACAGAGAAGGTGACACCAAGATAAAAAGAAGCTGGGCAGGGAGATGATCATGAAGAGAGGATAGAACTTACACAAGATAGCTCTTGAAAAAGTCCTTCAACTCCCCCTCAGTTGTCGCATAGGCCAGGTTGCCAATGTAGAGGCGACGGCCCTCAGCAGCGCTGGCCGAGGCGGCCTCGTTGGCGGCCGTCTTGTCATCGGCAGGCTTGTTGTTGAGTGAGGTATTGCTCAGAGTGTTTGCGACGTCATTAACGGCAGCATCCATGTTGTTGTTGGTAGTGGTAGTGTTGGCGGCAGACATGATGGCGGTAGGTGGATGAGGTTGGTGGTTAGATTGATTATGACGTTCGAACTTGGACCTGTGGTGGAGGAGCGTTCGAAAACGATGGCTGCGAGTTGAACAGGTTGAACTCTGGTGCAATAAGGAGGAGTTTGATCAGGGTAGCTTCGTGCCCTAGAAACGAGGTTGAGATTAGACAGACGACGGTGCGTTGCGCGGAGACACAGGTGTTTGATGTTGTGATGAAGAAGAGAAAGGGAGGAAGTGATGGCGACTGGTAGCGGAATCTGAAATATTTTTCTGGCCTTTGGGTTTGGGGGGCACAGAGGGAAAGAGGAAGGGGGGTGTTGTCAGGGGTGTGGGCAGGTGAGG